TTAATTTTTAGTCACATATTGTCGAATTTTAAGGTCACAGTTAGTCCATTATGCGATTTTTTTTGTGACCACCACCAACGGACTGCTGTGCCACCCCTGACACTTGTGACCGCCACCTCACGATTGCCACCAGCCGCATAGCCATCGAGGCTCCCGCAGCCAAAACCACCACCACCATCTCCCAGCACCGCAACCACACCGCCTCATCACAATCCACCAAATCCACCACCTTTAACCGCCCAAATCCGCCACCACAACACGAACACCACAAAAAAAAATTAATCGAAAAATACTCGTCGAACTCCTGCAGCCAAAACCACCATCTCCCAGTACCACCCACCACAGCATCATAACCCACCAAATATGCCACCCACGCCCGAAACTCCCGCAGCCAAAACTACCACCACCATCTCCCACCACCGCATCACAACCCACCAGATCCACCACCTCAAAACTCTGCAGGCGACTTATTCGTTCTATTCTTATTTGATCACTGCTGCCCTTAGAATTGGACCCAGACCCAGGAGAATGGCAGCACTATGCACGACAGTGATGCTCGTGTTGGTGCCACTGAAGGGCGCGATGATCGTGTGCCGTTCCCGCTGGTAAAGAATTTGGCGAAATGAGGAGAGATAGAGAAGAGAGGAGGCTGCCTCTCCAACGAACCCCGAGCCTCACCTCCGCTGCTCAGGGACAGGAGAAAAGTCCAGATCGCCACATGGCTGCGCCTCCGACGATCGTCGAGCCTCAACTCCGCTGCGCAGGGGTGCGCCTCCGATAATCACTGAGCCTCAAAGCTGGAGTTGTGGTGCCGGGAAGTTTGATGGAGAGAGAGAATGTAGAGAGAGGCGGCAGTTTGTAGAGAGAGGATGGAGAAAAGTAGAGAGAGAGTAGTTTGAAAGCTAATTAGGGTTTGTAACGTGTATTGCAGTATATATATTTAGTAAAAATATTTATTTTATAAAAAATTTAATTAAAATAAAATACCTGAATTTTGATTTTCTCACCTGATTTTTGCACTATGATTTTCAAATACCTGGAATTATGTAATTTCATCTTATAATATTATTGTTAATATTTAAAATTATATTATCATCTGATTTTCGTTTTTAAAAAAAAACTTTATATCTGAATTTTGAATTTAAAAAATCTGGTTGATTGTAATTTCCACTTGTAGATATAAGGCATTAGGTTTAGTTTTGGGCCAAGCACTCTCTTAACTGGGGTCTCCAACATGGCCAAGTAATATCATAATAAATGGGCCAACACACTAACCAAACCATCAATCCAACTACAACTTGGGTCCTCCCAAAGTGTTGGATCACGAGCAACATTAACTTAATTAAGCTGCTTCTAGTGGTCCAAGTTGTTTCCGAGTCAAGCCATCAATAAGGTGTCGATATAAACATATTCAATATCGTTTTAACATTGTCATCCAAATTTATTGGGTATCAAGATCCAACATACATCAACTGACTTGAATAAAGGCTTCAAGAATACTCCTCAAGAAAGATCAGTTCATGCCGAAAAACTGAGGGAATCTGAAGCACTCTCTGCTATGTCTAGATTTACTATGAAAGTGATTTGTGTCTTTCTGTCAAAGTTGGATGCCTGCTGAGTATGTCGATTTTTTTCATTTATAGACCAGTAGATATGAAATCCTAAAACATCTAACACTCGAGTTTTTTCAAAGGAAAATGTGCAGGCATGTTTGGAATAGTCTGTGGGAAATATTTAATTCTAACATCTAAACTCGAGTTGATGCTCTCATTGTATTAGAATGGAGAAGTTGTCGTTGCGAAGCTTAAGTAGCCAGGGCAAAATTGTAGGAACAATGGTGTCAATAACAGGTGCTTTAGTGGTGATCCTCTACAGTGGACCAGTACTCATAAAAATGCATGCAGCCCAAAAATCACCTACAGTTACAATTTCATTGGACACTAGTACAGTCTCTTCTGAATCAAATTGGATTATTGGTGGTATTCTCCTTGCAGCCAGTTATGTTATGGTCTCGATTTGGTATATTTATCAGGTACATAGTTCAATACGCATAGGGTTTAGGGCCTGTATGGCAAGGCTTTTTAAAAGTCAAAAGTTGCTTTTAAAACTAAGAAGTTGTTTTTGAATATGTTTGAATAGTTTTCTGGAAATGCTTTGCATGGCTAGATGAGCTTTTAATACTTTTAGAGAAAGCTGGCTTACAGTAACTTTCTTGAAAAGCTATTCCCCAAGATGTATAAGCTAAAGCACAAGCCATGCCGCACAGGTCCTTAATTGATCATGTTGTTGTACCATAATTTTAATCAATAGCCTATTTTGCAGGCTAAAGTCGTGAAGAACTACCCAGCAGAATTAATAGTTGTCTTTTTCTACAACCTATTTAGTTGCATAGTGTCTACACCTCTATGTCTAATTATGGAACCATTTAGTGCATGGAAGGTGAAACCTAATGTAGAGCTGATCTCCATCTTATACTCGGTATGAGCTTAATGGAGTTACTTTATGATTTTTGAGGAATTATCTATTGTATTAAATCTCGACTTTAATTAGGGAATAATTGGGTCGGGATTTGGTATCATTGTTCACACGTGGGGATTACACGTGAAGGGACCTGTATACGTTGCATTGTTTAGGCCATTGTCGATTGCCATTGCAGCCATTATGGGTGTCATTTTTCTTGGTGATAATCTCTATCTTGGATGGTATGTATATTATCCCTAAAGAACTTGCTGCGTTTAAGATTCTTCATGAACTAATTACATATTCAATTTTTGGATTTGCAGTGTCATTGGATCGATAATTGTATCGATGGGATTTTATATCGTAACTTGGGCAAAAACAAAAGAAGAAGTTGGTGAAAATTTGGAAGAGCATGTCGCTGAATCATCGTCCAATGCAAATGTCCCCCTTTTAAAAAATCACAATGTTACTACCAAACAAAAAATTGATGTTGCATAGCAGCAAATTGCACATTTCAATCTTTAGTGATTGTTTAGAAGTTTAAAGGACATTCATTTTTGCTCTCGATGTAGTTAGATAATGAAATTTTACATTGATTATATATTCAATATTTGAACTCTTGAGAAAATTCTTCACCAATTGCTTTAGTTTTTGGTATTTGAGGTTTTTGTGTTGAAATATCTCACCCTGCGCTGCACCATCCCCAACAGTGCTCTGCACCATACAGGTGTTTGACCATCTCACGCTGACGAGTGCTGAGTCCGGTCATCTGTTGTTGTGTCAACACTTCAATTTGCTGATGGAGTTCTGTTATCTCGTCGCCTTGATCCCCATCATAACCTCGAGCACCATGATCCTAACCTGTCCTCCAGGAACCGCTGTCAAGAGCATAGACTAGCTCTGATAGCAGTATGATGTAGGCAGCGAAAAGAGAGAAGAAAATACGTGATCAACACTCCAATACTCGTAATCACTGGATGATGATCGAGAGTTGAAGATTTCTCTTGCGGTTTTTGTTTATTCAATTGTTCAGCCCAAAAAAACTGATGAAGCTCATTTCTTGTTTAACTTCATTGACAATCTTGCAGTAATGCATTTGTACTTCACAGTGCTTAGAGTTCAATTCTCAAAGCTATCTAGTCCCGTCCAGCACTTTGCACCAAACACGCCCTAGAGGTTATACAGAGTCGGGTCGAGAAAATATGAAGTTTCTAGCAAAAGAAGATTCATTTTTTTATGAAAGTACAAATTTACAGTTCTAATTCAGGGAAAAGGTTTGTCTTTTGATCATCTCCAATAAAAGTTCATTCCACACATCAATGGGGCCTGGCAGGCACCAATGGATGCAGTCACTATAACCCGTCATCCAGGTGTTGCCCCCGTAGAGTCCAGGGTGCCCATCTGGTCTCATCCCCATAATTTCTGTTATATCAAGAATTTCAAACCTATTCCCTAAGTACTCTCCTTTTTCTCTCGCCGTTTCAATTTCTTCCACTTGAATTTTCCTGAGTTCCCAATTTGAATCCCTCCCAATAACATCCTCTATCTTGACCGGTCGAGTTCTATTGCACCCACCTCCCGTATTCCACGTGCCATTCTCGAAATGAGAAGGTGAAAACGTCCTCAAAACGGTAAATATGTTTTTACAGTTCTTGCACTCATTGATTTGTTTAAATGCAGCTTGGAAGGCCCGTTTAATGGCGAAATTCAGCCCGAGATCTGTCATGTTTGGTACCTGGCACAGTATGCAGCCTATAAGATTGCTGCCCTCGTATAAATAATGCTGTCTGAAGAACCACTGGACGTCTGAGAAAATTGCATAATCTATGAAAGTTATTTTTTCGGACCAATTTTGATCAACCTTGTCCAGATGTAAATCAAAACTACCGGTGGCTGAACCATTGAACATTGTCTCTGTGGCTGTGACTAAGAATTGAGACCAGAGGGCCATGAGGCTGAAGTTGTGCTTCGGAAATTCCCATGTCATGGACCGATCTTCAGCATCCTTGTATACTTCTTTTGGTGTTTCTTCCTGCAAGATCATGCACTACCATAAGGTCTGAGGATTATTTGCTTATGAGTTGTGAGGAAATAAACATTAAACTGTCAAATTCATATCGAATGGTGATGATCCCAAAATTATGACATAACCTGAACATTATGTCCCGAGGATGAGTACGGTTTATTTTAGGGGTGGCTGCGGGTGGGTTCGATTCGGTTCGGTTTTGTTCGTTCCCGAAATTTTCGGGTATTTAGTAAATGGAACCGTCGGTTCCAAATATAATTTTGGAACCATTCGGGTTCGGTTCGGTTCGATTCTGTTCGGTTCCGTACTATAATTAAATTTTTTAACATTTAAAATAATACTACATAAATACACCTGAAAGTAAATACTAATATTAATAACAAAAAATAGATACAAATACCAAATTCAATCTTAACTTTTACAAATTAACGTAATCTAATTTAATAACATATAAATAATAAGTTGTCAAATATAATTACAAAAAAGTAAATATTACTAGTAAAACTTCGATGATTCATATCAATAATTCATTTGCTTCAAACTTTCAAGTCTACATAAAAATAAAATATAAATTAGAAGTTATAAAGATAAAATATTTTAAAGTATTGATAATATTTACCAACTATTTAATGTAATCTTGCTTGACTTTCCATACTAACTAATAAGAAACTATACCAGAAAAAATTGAAAAAAACACAATTAACAAACATGAATAAACTCTAAATTGTTTAACTAATAAAATTTAATAAGAAAAAAAACTATTAATTTGTTTAGAAAAAATAAAAGAAATTGATTTATCCAATAAAAAAAATTTGGTTCTTATTCGATTATTCAGTTCTTGGTCTAGAACCGAGAACCGAATCAAACCATTCGATTCTCAATTCGGATACCCGTTCGGGTATTTCATTTAAGAAAAATCGCTCGGTTCAATTTGGACATTTTGCTCAACCCTAGTTTATTTCATCAATTTCGTTCTACCCTCTTTGGGGTTGTCCCTCGGGATATGTGCCTCCTTAGGAACATGACCACATGGGCAAAACCCGATCGAAGCCGCCAAAATCGAACCGACCCGATCGATTTGGGTCGAATTTTTTATTATTTTTACAGGGGTTGAGTGGGTTGGTTGTGTAGGCGGGTTGGGTCGGATCGGGTTGACTTGAGTTATGAGTTAACTCATGAAAATCGAATAAACCCACCCAACCCAACCTAATCCAATTATATTTATGAACTTTACAAGTGTTGTGGTGTTGCTTGGTCGAAATTGAGTCACTTTGTTTCTTCACACACAACCTCCAAGAGCTACAATATTAAAAAAAAAAAACCTAAATTAAAAGGTCAGTTCTTGTTGGAAAATTTTTGTGCAATTGTTGAAAAGTTTGAGGAAACCATACACAAATTATATACTACTAATTAACTAAGTTCTATATATGCAAACACGATATACGAGAAGTCTTAAATATGGCACAAGACATGAAAACTCTAGAATAATATTATAAAATTTAGATATAATGCATTTTACGAAAAATAATATAAGCAAATACACATTCAACACAAAAACATTTTAATTGCCAAAAATATTTTTTACTTTTATATAATTTAATTTCAATATATCCATGTAACATTTTCGAGGATGAAGTGCCAAAATAATTCAGATTTTTTTGTCATTGCAACTATAGAAACTTGATATTATATAAGTCATGAGTCAATTATAAATCCGCCCAACCCGACCCGACCCCACCGGCATATTTTAATATTTGTTAACAAGTTGTTCAAAACCGATCAACCCAACCCAACTGATACTTGATTGGGTTGGGTTGAGTTTCAACCTTTACACGTGTTGTGTTGGGTTAAATTATGATCAAATTGATCATGTTGGGTTAAACTTGGGTTGAGACAAAAATCGACCAAACCCACGCCCACACCTAACCACATCCCCCACCACGTAAGTCTCGTCGATCTATTCCCCGAGCATGAGCATTCCCAGTCAACTTTTGGGCTCCTCAAGGTCAAGCATTGACCTCGAATGCAGCAAACTTGGTCCATTAGGACTTTCCTGCATCATAAGGCTCATCCAATTCTAAGGAGTTTGAGTCATGCTATAAATATGATATCTCTACCATCGACATTTTATCTTTATCCAAACATATCAACGGTACAATACCAATCAAGTTGCAACTTCTAAGCATGGTAGGAATCAGGGATTTATCTTAATCCTACCAAGAATGTACTACCTATCTCTATAAATATAGCACTCCAATTCATTATCTAGGTTCGTTTTCACATAATTTTTCCGCATATATCCTTTATCATAAATTCTATCTCTAACTTAAGTATCAGAGGAACGACAAGAAAGCATCTCGATGCCTTTATTTTAGGTACCAAAATATTTTGTTTATGCTTATTCTCAATCCTCAAACTCAAAAATCAACATGTACGATTTTTGATAGTATCAAATGGTTTATTTTATTGGATATTTCATTAATATATCGAAGAATCACAAACTCTTTCCCATTATCAATGAATGGTGACTATTTCAAGAGCTAGTCCTCTGTAGTTTGTTTGTTAATGTGCATTACAAAGAAAGAGAAGAAATATTTTCGAGTATGAAATTTGTCCATTATACTGTTTAATTCTGTGAGGGTTTAAATCCAGCCCAGTCCAGTCCGTTCACATAGAGGCTTGAAATAGCCCTCTTACGTTGTAGGGTGGGCCGGGTCTTTGGTCCTGTAGATGGGCATGAGTGACGTGGCCCACTTAGACACCACTCGCCCCATCGTACAGTGTTCGTAACAATGTCATAGCTGCATACAATTTGATTCTAGATTTCAAGATTAAGGGCATGTTTAGTAGGGATTCTCATTTTTTACAGTAAATTAATTCTCATTTTCAACCACACATTTTTCAATAAAATAATATTTTCCATTACATCAATAATTTTTTTTTTTCTTTTTCAACCACACATTTCCCATCATATCACTATTCAAAATCAATTCTTCCTCCAAGAAATCTCTACCAAACAAGCTCTAAGTATGAGGATTAAAATCAGATTTTTAATTGATTTTGATAAAAATTGATGAAATTTGTGGTTGAAAAATTGTGAGACTCGTATTGAATCGAATTGTTGACATTAACTTAAATTAAAATTAAAATTTAAAACAGTACCAAACATGCGCTAAGAAGATAGGTGTAGAACTAACCGTCGACAGGAGGCAAAGTAGGGAATCCATTTGATTCCGGGCAATAGAGTCACCGATGAAAGCCATTGTCTTCCCTTGAACAATACTAAGAAATGTTTTCGAGCTGAAACGAGGAAGTTCACATTGTTCTGGTTTCCATCTCCAGTGCAGAAAATCTTTATCCTTCCTCCCATGAAAAAAGCAGTTTCTTCTGTAAGGGATTGTTGTACAGCTAAAATTTGTATACAAAGTGTCCCTCCTGTCTGGAATCCATTGACCCTTAAACAAGTTGCAACTTCTGCTAACTGCAAAAACATAAATCTTCAAACAAATTCAGTCAAAAGAACTCTGTGGATTATTAATTTACTTACCGTTTTCATAGGGTCGAGTGACGATGTTTGCTTGATTGTATTCCTGAACAATAATTGTTCTGGAACAGTAAAGGATGTAGAAAGTGAGAACTATAGTTAAAATTGCAGTACAGAAAACTACTGAAGCTGAATTACACATATTTATGAGTAATCTCTCCATGAAGATTTGATTTCTGCAGTGTGATACTGTTCTTGAAAGAGAGTGATAAGAGACAACTGTAGTTTTCCCACATAAAGAGCATAGTCTTTTGATTTTAATTTTTCTCTCCGTTACTTTACAGCTTTGACCTTGATTTGCTAGCTCCACCAAGCTGGACAGCCGCGATTTTCTCGCCACCAAACATGGCCTGATTTATGAACATTGCCTAACTCACAGGACATAAAATTATATGCCCCATTTATGATAGTTAAAGACTTTGACTAATCTGTAGTTTTATGCCTTTTTTTCTTTAAGAGGCAGAAAAGAGTAGCTCTTGGAAAGAATCTGACACGTTTTATGTGCAGCGTGGAACAAGATAAAATAGGCAGCCCAGAAGCGAGCCGGCCCATTGTCACTCATATTTAGGGTCTGTTTTGCAAAGCTTTTGAAAAGTAATAAATTGTGTCTGAGAAAAAGTTAATATTGAAAATGTTTGGATAATTTTCAAAAGTGTTTTGTCTAACTAGAAGAACTTTTAAAAGAAGTCGACTTAAGATAATTTTTTTAGGCAACTCTTTTACAAGAAGTCGAACTTTCAATTGAGCGGTTAATGATATTGACAATGTGAATGATCCATTTCATGCTTTTCAATTTCGGAAGTTCAACTCCGAAGTCTCTCGGAGCGCGTTTTGTAGAGAAGATTAGATATCATTGTGTAGAATTTAAGAATATAAGCAAGTTAAAATCATGTTAATTGTAGTACTTTACACCAAATATGCACTTGAGGTTTTATAGAGAATTGGATGTGAATGTTGATTATTTGATGTAAAAAAAGAAAATTTTTATGAAATACAAATTTACAATTTCAATGAAGGGAAAAAAATTATCTCTTGATCATCTCCAACAAAAGTTCATTCCATGTATCAATGGGACCGGGCAAGCACCAATGGATGCAGTCGCTATAACCCTTCATCCATGGGTTCCCCCAATACACTCCAGGGTGCCCATCAGGTCTGATCATCATAATTTCTGTAATATCAAGAATTTCAAACCTATTCCCTCTATATTCTCCTATTTTTCTTGCCATTTCAAGTTGTTCAACTTGAATGTTCTTGAATTCCCAATCCGAATACCGCCCAACAACTTCTTCTTTCCCTATCGGTCGAGTTCTGTTGCAACCGCCTCCTGTGTTCCATGTGCCATTCTCGAAATGAGAAGGTGAAAATGTCCTCAACAATGTAAATATTTTCTTACAGTTCTTGCACTCATTGATTTCCTTAAATGCAGCTTGGAATGCTCTTTTAATGGCGAAACTTGGCCCGCGATCTGTCACATTTGGTGCCTGACAGTATACGCAGCCTATAAGGTTGTTGTCCTCGTATAAATAGTTCTGCCTTAAGAACCAATGGGCATCCGAGAAAATTACATAATCCATGAGAGGTAGTTTTCTGGACCAATGTTGATCAACCTTGTCGAGTTGCAAATCAAAACCTCCAGTGGCTGAACCGTTGACTACTCTCTCAGTTGAGATAACTAGGAACTGAGACCAAAAGGCCATGAGAGTGAAGTTATGCTTCGAAAATTCCCATGTCCTAAATTGATCTTTAGCATCCTTGTAATCTTCTTTTGGACTTTCTACCTGCAAGGTTATAAGCCATTACAAGGTAATAAAACATTAACCAGCCAAATTCATATTATTTGTTTCATTAATATTCATTTTAGTCCAAATAATCACAATCTTTTTACGTTAGTTCATGCGTATTTCACAGTTCATTACGAGCATGAGCAGTTTAGACGTAACTCGCCTATAGAACAGGTTTGTAAGGGAAAATGTACCAATGTGCTTATAAAATACGCTTTTCTCAACGATTAATAACTCCAAAGATTGATGAAGACATTGGGACAAGGAAAAAACACAATTTCTCCTATTTAGAATAATCTTAATATGTTTTGAGTTTAGTGTTGGTAATTATGATTTGATAAATAATGGGACTATGTCATGATAATGTTAGTCCTTTCTTTTTCATAATTAGGTCTTGCTTTCTTGTTTTTTTATTTCTTTCTTTTAATTTAATTAATATGTTACAGTAGGTTCTTAATATATTCATTATTGTACGGATTGACATTATGTGCTAATTTATTGTTGTTGCTAAACCATGTGCTGACCAGCTAGCCAAATTTATATTTCTTAATACCCTTTTATTAAGTCCAGATGCCATTTTCCAACGAATGTTTGAATATTTCAAGAACTTACTGTCTAAAGGTTGAACCCCAACCTTGAGGGTCCCCCACCGTCCTGTCCCTAGAACATTGTAGAAGAGGTAAATCGCGGAATGTACTTCAACAAGTCAGTGTACAAGAGTTGTCATACTGGTGCCCACAAAAAGTCCAATTTCATACCTTATAAGAGGCAGGAATCGAAGCCTCACACTGTGGCTGCCAGTTCAACTGAAACTACATCATTCATGTCATTTACTGAGCTATGCTATGCTTCGGGGGGCAAATTACCGTCTAGTATTTCGAAAATAAGTTAAAATTCTATGTTAGACCGATATACCAGGGATGCCAATGGACCTAGAAGGTTCAACTTATGAGCTCGGGCCCGTCTTGACCCTTAGGCCATCCCAATGTGGGCCAGGCCTAGATGGAGCGTGCTACCTAAATTTGTTGTGAAACGTCTTACACAAATATACTAGAGAATACGTGGCGCAATATTATTGAACAATTTAAAAAAATAATAATAATAACTAAAAAAATTAGCCACAAGTGCTGCCAAGCAGCACCTATGCCTGCCCGTGTTTGTGGAGCCTCTCTCTGTAGCATTATTCATTTGCTATTGATTTAACGTTGTCCTTTTCGTACAAAATTTGTCTTTTTGTTGGCCCTTCTTGGTCATAGTGCCAAACCTGCAGGCCCCCTTTCCTTGGGGTCGTGCCGGGCCTGAATCGGGCTTTTTCTGGTTTTACTGACTTCACTAAATTACTTCTTTACCAAACATGCTGCTACCATACCTTCATCCAATATAATTCTAAATTCTTGTTAAAGAAGATGAGTTTTCAGGCACTAACCGTTGACAGGAGACACAAAAGGGATTCCATCTGATTCCGGGCTATTGAATCACCGATGAAAGCCATTGTCTTCCCTCGAACAGTACTAAGAAAAGTTTTCGGGCTGAAACGAGGAAGTTCACATTGGTCTGGTTTCCATCTCCAGTGCAAAAAATCTGTGTCCTCCCTCCCATTAAGAAAACAGTTTCTTTTGTAAGGAATCGTTTTACAGCTAAAATTCGTATACAAAGAACCTCTCTCGTCTAAAATCCACTGACCCTTAAACAAGTTACAGCTTCTGCTATCTGCAAAACATATATGAACTCTTCAAAATAAAGCTCATCAGTCAAAAGAAATCAATGGATTATCAGTTTCACTTACCCTTTTTATACGGCTGATTGTGTTCTTGATTGATATTTGTTGTGTAGTTGACGGTACTTCTTGGATAGTAAAGGAGAGAGAAACTGAAAAGTATGGTTAAAAATACAGTATAGAACAATACTGAAGCTGCATTAAACAGATTCTTTAATCTCTCCTTCTTGAAGATGTGATTCCTACAGTGTGATGCTGAGGCCATGCTCCTCTTCTTGCAAGAGAGAGAGAGAGAGAGAGAGATTATAAGTGAAGAAGAACATTATGGTTATGGAATAAATAAGGGGAGAAAAAAAAACTGATGTTTCATGGATTTGTTCTTTAAAAAACAGAAACTTGAGATCTTGTATGATTGTTATTTCTTTACTCACTGATCTGAGCTCTCATGTGCTTATTTTAGGTGCAAATTATAAGTCAAGCAATTCGTGCAAGTTCATGAATTAGGTAGATCTACTTCTGCAATAAAGTTTAGGGATGACTTTTCTCGTACAATAATTTTGTTTCAACGTATAGCTTCGAAATTGGTTCCTAGTCTGTCTCACCTGCCGCCACCGCCACCACCAGCCACAAAGGCGGACCACCGCCATTTTCTTGTCACCAAACATGGCCTAATGCATGAATCTTAGAATTATTTCATGTTCACTTTTTGCCTTTATGTAAATTAAAGATAATGACTAATTTGTAGTTTTGCGCCTTTCAAAAAAGTTTGCATATCAATATCACGGGTAACATCAATATTGTGGACCTTTGTGATTAACTTTTTGTACAATATCCATTATTTTTATAATATATTTGTGGTTTG